GCTTAAATTGATCTCTCGAGCTAGTGGCTGCGATTTTTTTCGGAGGAGATACAGGGTTTTGCAGTTTTTGTGAGTAGTTCTTCACTTTTTCAGCCGGTTCTCCGGCTGCCCAGAGTTGTAACAGGTGACAAGTGCATTAGCCGTCTGCATCCTCCACCGGAGGTCGCACAGGACGCGGTCAAAGTCAACGCTCTAACATGCTAAACTGACAAGAGGTCATACGAGAAGCCAATACGCGTTTATCAAAAGGTTTCGTTCGTTTATTAATGTCGAAAGTATTTTTAAGACAAACACGCGCAACAAAATATAAAAGGAAAGTTTGTACATCGATGTAGCACGTGAATGGGTTCGCAAGTAACGCGATACATAGGCTGTGAAACTTTTAACATCTAGCGATAATGTAAAATAAATTCCGCGCTTGCTCCGAGATCAGGTTGCTTCCATCGCCTCCAATCATCGTCTGAATTTCGCCAAGGACCTTTTCGATAAATAATCTGCGATAAAGGTACTCTCTAACTTAACACAGGATCCTACGTAGCATCGTTAGTATCAAAAATGCGGCAACTACATCTGTCCCTCTCTTTTCTTTGGCGAGGTTGCTCTATCGAAACGAAACGATGAAACGTCAGGGAATCGACATGCATGATTTGATGGTCCATATAATTTTTTGGTCGAGATTTTTTACAAATCTAACGAGATGTCTCGTCGGAGTCTTTTGCACGGACGACGAGGTCTTAGATAAAATCTTGACGAAGGAATTGACCCATATAAACATGCTCGATAATGGACAAATGCTATCAACGAAAGATATCGTAATTATTGGTCTTTAAAAATGAAATTTAAATATGAAAATTTATGACGGAGACAATGCATGATCGACATGCATGATTTGATGGTCCATATAATTTTTTGGTCGAGATTTTTTACAAATCTAACGAGATGTCTCGTCGGAGCCTTTTGCACGGACGACGAGATCTTAGATAAAATCTTGACGAAGGAGTTGACCCATATAAACATGCTCGATAATGAACAAATGCTATCAACGAAAGATATCGTAATTATTGGTCTTTAAAAAAGAAATTTAAATATGAAAATTTATGACGGAGCAGAAGCTCACGCGTGATTTCAGGAAATTCAAACGTAAATTCATTATTCATTTGTTATCCAAGGGATACAAATTTTTCAAGTTAAAGCCTTGCCTCATCTTTTTGAAATATCGTCGATAGTATAAGATTTTGAAAGCTCTCCCTCCAGGAGAATTAAAAAACTCTGATCCCTGAATTTGTTGAAATCAAGGGCTCCTATGAATAGCAGATTGTACGTTAATTGAGGCAAAGTTGAATCGACCGAAAAGAAATTCTTTTCTATCACTCAAAGGAACCGATCGACCTGGACGAGAACACAGAATTGGAAAGAAGTTTCCGAGAGGTGTTCTAAGTCGCGATTCTTCTTATGAAGTCCTACATAAACGAGATTAAGTTCTTCGTGGATTCTATCGGAACATCAAAGGGACGTCGATTAATCGAAAGGCCAGTCGGAATTCCAAAACTTCCCCATCTTCAGGTTTAAAAAATGGCCTTCCCCCTTGGACTCTACGAGAACCGAAAATCGAGTTTTCGGTTCTTATAGTTCCGAAGAGGAAGGCCGTTGACAAGGAGATGGAACAAAGTCCTTCCGGTTATCAAAATCCTGAAGGAGCCTCCAAGGACCGAATCTCTGGTCGCTTCGGGAATTCCACGTCTTCCGACGTCGTTTTTATCGACCAGGGTGAATTTTATTCATCCAGCAGTTTCAGATCCGACGAGGACGTCGGATTACGCGAATCCTTTGACGCGGCATTTGAATCGCCCAGGTTAAGAGCTGCAATCATCGACTTGGTCTCATCCGAACCGCGATAATGATAGACAAAGACGAGAGACATCGTTCTCGTCGGAGGGTGAGGACGTTTTTGAAAAATTCGATTTACTGATTATTTTCCGATTGAGTAGCAGGGAAGAGTATCGTCCCCGGCATCCGGCAAAAGGAAGAGCTCGGAGTTCAAAGATAATCAGTCCGATGATAAGACGTCTACATCCCCTCTTACAAGGAAGGTATCCCAGGTCGATCTCTCCGATTTCATTTCTTTTATAATACGTTATAGTAGACTAAAAACTAAGCGACACGTATTTTTTTTTATCTGCCATTAAACACTTTAAGGGGGTGAAACCACCATCCAAAGTAAGGACTGTGAGGGGTGGCTCCCCTCTTAAGTTTTCTTTCTTCTAATTCAGAAAACTATATTTTTCATTTCCCGTTATGGGAGAGCTTTTCCAGGTGGATTGGTTAAAAAATGTTATATTCATGTGAGTGAAACTGCCAAATCGCCCCTTGACATCCTTACTTTGGATGGTGTTACATCCCCTTAAAGTGTTTAATGGGAAATTAAAAAAAATACGTGTCGCTTAGTTTTTAGTCTACTATAACATATTATAAAAGAAATGAAATCGGAGAGATCGACCTGAGATATCTTCCTTGTTAGCGTTACAGTGGCCGAAAACCCAGCCAATAGAACGATCTATCGAAAGGCAGATGTCCAGGTAATTTAGGAAAAAAGGACCTTTAAGGGATACCGGAGAAACGATGCCCTCGTATTCATTTTACCTCAAGGTTTGTTGCAGTGCGCACGAGTCTACAAATAAAGAAAGAAAAAAGAAAAAAAAAATGATTTCGAAGAGGGGACGAAAAGTGAACATTTCTCGACATCCCAGAAAAGGGAATTCGTCGTCGGTCGGACTTATCGGTGACGGGAGGTTCAATGTCGATCATTGTTTTTTACTCGGATCGAAGGGGGATAGCTCCAATTTTGACGACGAGGAGGGCAGCCTCCTCGTTGCTCCTGTCCTCGAGGATGAAGTGCTGCTTCAGGACTTCTGGTCTCGGCTGCCCCGTCCGCGCATCGAAGACCTCTCCTCCGGTCAACTTGCGTGAGCAAGATTTTATGGTACTCGACAAGTGTCTGCACCTCCTGACAGTAATTGTTTCTTTACCGAATCTTAAAGAAATGACACAAGTGCGCCTAAAGGTTCATTTTCCAGTTTCCTTCGTCCCATGGTATTATCAACTTGTTTAACTGTTACGAGAAAGCGTGAGTCAGATTTTATGGTACTCGACAAGTGCCTGCACCTCGTGACAGTAATTGCTTCTTTACCGAATCTTGAAGATATGGCATAAGTGCGCCTAAAGGTTCATTTTCCAGTTTCCTTCGTCCCATGGTATTATCAACTTGTTTAACTTAGTTACGAGAAAGCGTGAGTCAGATTTTATGGTACTCGACAATTGCCTGCACCTTCTGACAGTAATTGCTTCTTTACCGAATCTTGAAGATATGGCATAAGTGCGCCTAAAGGTTCATTCGTCCCATGGTATTATCAACTTGTTTAACTTAGTTACGAGAAAGCGTGAGTCAGATTTTATGGTACTCGACAATTGCCTGCACCTTCTGACAGTAATTGTTTCTTTACCGAATCTTGAAGAAATGGCACAAGTGCGCCTAAAGGTTCATTTTCCATCGTCCCATGGTATTATCAACTTGTTTAACTTAGTTACGAGAAAGCGTGAGTCAGATTTTATGGTACTCGACAAGTGTCTGCACCTCGTGACAATAATTGTCTCATTACCGAATTTTTAGAATGAAAGGTAACGCCCTACCATGCAAAACTGACAAGAGGGCATACGAGACGCCAATACAGATTCATCAGAAGGTTTCGTTCATTTATTAACGTCGAAAGTATTTTTAAAACAAAATACTCATGCAAAAAAATATAAAAGGAAAGTTTGTACATCGATTTAGCACACGGATAGGCTCGCAAGTAACGCGATACATAGGCTGTGTAACTTTAAACATCTAACGATAACGTAAAATAAACTCCGCGCTTGCCTCCGAGATCAGGTTGCTTCCATCGCCTCCAATCGTCGTCCGAATTTCGGCAAGGACCTTTCCGAAATAACCTGCGACAAAGGTACTCTCTAACTTAACACAGGATCCTACGTAGCATCGCTAGTATCACAATTCCGGCAACCACATCTGCCCCTCTATTTTCCTCCGCGACATTGTTCTATCGAAACGAAACGATGCATGGTCGGGCGATCGACATGCATAACTTAAGTATTCACCCTGTCAACTTAATCTACTAACGCTCTAATTGATACGCGATAAGCACTAACGGAGCGATCTACGTCTTTGTAAGGCAACGTAACGGAATCCTAAATCAAAAGCTCTATTTACACGTCCACGTGATTATAGAATGCGACCAATCAAGGATGATGGATCATTACGAGGGAACGACGCGTCGCAATGACCTCCATGATTCGCCACGACCGCGGAATAAAAAGTACGTCTAACCTACGCGTCGAATACTGTAAAATGCTCATGTCGACGGTAATACATCAGTAGCTGCGCGACGAAGGTCTTTCATACACGACTTGGTCTTAAAAGTATGTTTAACATCTGTACAAAGCACGCAATTAATTATAACGAAACGCGCTACGCGTCGGACTCCATCCTCTGCACCTGCGTTAGTCGTTTTACTCGAGACGCGTGAAATCATGTTCCTGCTCCCAGAAGCCTAATTCCTCGCCGATGGGATCATAGCCAGGATATATCGGACTCGCAACTCATTTTCGAATAATCGAGTGCAGCTTGAATTCCCCGAGCCGCCTAAGCTAGTGAAATTGTAAAAACGAGAAAGCTGCAATCGAGCGTTACTTCAAATATTAAATCCGATTCAGTCAAGAGTAAAGAAATGTCCGAGGCAAACTTGGAAAACCTCGGGATTCCAATGGCATAATATAATTGTATGGAATTTAACATGTCGGTAGGAGAGCTTGCAGAGAGGTTGGCTAGAGACGGGAATATATGTTGAATCCGCGTAACATGGAGTCCAAGCTCGTATAAATCTCTAGAAGAGTCCTAATTCGCATAGGTGGAAGGTGTCCTAATTTTTAGGTCGGAAGCGCGACATGTAGTAGTCACAGTCGGTGCAGTAGATCGCCGGTTCGGTGATCTGTTTCTTTCTGCACAGGTGACAAGGAGCAGTCCTCGAGGACGCCGAAGTCGCCATGGATGAGGATTTCTGGATGGAAGACGTCGACTGGGGTGTAGGTGCGCAGTTCTTGGCCCCTGGTTGGAAGTGCACCTGTTTGGTCTGTTTGGGTACCGGTGGGTGTTGGTACGTGGGGTACTTCATGTTGGACTGGATTTGTCCGTTTTGGAGAGGATTTGGATAAGTCTGGTTGGGCGCCAAGACGTTCTGCTGATCCACCTTCTGAGAAGGTGGCAGTCGTTGATAGTTATCGAGTCGCTGTTGATAGTTTTGGATAGACTGTTGTTGAGAGTGGTGCTGCTGCTGCTGGTGTTGGATCTGTTGATGCTGATGCTGCTGATGCTGCTGTTGCTGATATGAAACAGCCGTCGGGTTAGGTGGAGGTTGGTATTGAGGTAAGGGCTGTTGGCTTGACCTGTTGATCTGGGGAACGGGTTGATAGGGGAAACTTTGATAGGAACTATGAGAATATTGACCCTGAGGAGAAGAGGAGTACTGCTGATATGGATTTGGCGACTGGTTTGGCGGGCACGTAAACTGTTGTCCATGTTGAACGGTGATAGGGCTTGCATTGTGGCTCGGTATCCTCTGATTCACGGCGCACTGTTGTTGTTGGGCGGTAAGTTGTTTGTTCATCTGGTTGTGCTGCTGCTCCATTGTCTGATAGTTACTCTGATAGGTATTCTTCGGACAATTCAGCTTCTGTTGTTGGATTCCACCGGTTTGTGGGTACTGAATGTGCATCTGCGTGGGATACGGACTGGCTGGTTTTTGCGATTGGGAGGCGGGCACGACCTGATTCCGCGGATGTGACGTCTGCGTTTGCGGATACCCAATTTGCGCTTGCAGATATGGCGCATAACCATTCTGAGGAGGGTAACGGATCTGCTGTTGCAGTTGTTGCTGCAGTTGCGGCGAATAGGACGTCGGCGGTTTAGCAGAATTCGTCGGCGTTGCCGAATACGTCTCCCTGGTGACATCCTGACCCTCGGAAAAGACTCCGAAGTGTTTCTTCGCATCCTGAATTAAACCGACGGATTCGTTCGAGTTCTGCCTTCCAAAAGTGGGTCGAACAGTGTCAGAGATGGAAACTGGATTGACGCTCCTCAGCTGATCCTGAAAAGGCGTTGCCGGAATGCTATCAGCTTCGCTCTTCAGCGGCAGCGTATGTTGCTGAAACTTCGGCGTTGGATTGTCGCGGTTCATTTCAGCCTCTTGAAGGCTTCTGATCTCTCGCAACACTTGGGCAGTTTCCGGCTTGTTCATGGCTGAGCGCAGCACTCTTTCCAAGATGGGGTTTGGTATATACGAGTCCTTTTCGTCGTCTTCTGCCGTCGCGACGAGCACCACCTGATCGCAGAAAGAAACGCTCTTCTTCTTCCCGATTCTTCGTTTCACCTTTCTAGGGGCGATGTCATCTTCGTTTGGTAAAATCGTAGTGTTTTGTATAGTGTTCTGCATGGCGACCTCGCTGATGTCATCTTCCGGATAATCAACCGGCAGACCGTTCTCATGCGGTAATGTCAGAGACATCGATAAAATCGCGGCGTTCAGTCCACTTCCTTGAACATGATTGCCGTTGGCATTGTTTCCAGCAGCCGACGTCATTGTAGGAACAAAGTTATGTTGGCCAGAAGTGGCGTCGAAGCTGGGACTCGCGGCTACAGGTTGAATATCCGTCTTGACGTAAGCAGGTACGTTTTCTGAAGAGAATTTAACAGGTTTAATATCTTCGGTCTGTTGGATGTCTTGAGAGATATCCATAGCCGGGGATGGAGAACTGCTGGGCGGCTTTGTCTGAATCTTCACTTCCGCCTCGGTTTTGGCAGCGGGCTGCAATTTGATCTGCTCGAATCTGGCAGCCATGTCCTTAACGGATGACGAGGAAGTCACAACTTTTGCGCAATCCGGAACATCTCGTCCTTCATCCTGTGGCGGGTTAAGAGTATTCATCATCAGGTCACTGGTCCTCCTGGTAATAGTTGTGCTCGCCGTGGAGGTTATCATCGATTGCCTAACTTTAGGTATATCCTGATTCAAGTCTAAAGATCCTTGCTTTTTCATCCTTCTCTCGGCCTGTTTTGCCTGGAGTTCCCGGAGCCACGTTTCGTTAGAGGTCTTATCATCGTCCTCATCTTGTAATCTCTTCTCTTCGGCGGACTCCGCCGCGAGGATCTGTTCTCTCTTCAGCTGCAACTGCGCCAGCAAGCAACTGATCTGCTGAGCTTCCAATTGCTGCTGAGTCCGGCCGTTTAGCTGGTATTGCTGCGTGTCGTCCTGAGGTGGTTGGGAATTTGCCGAGTCGTCAATGGGAGGTGGCGGAGGTGGAAAGTCCTCGCTGGCTTGTCTGGAGTGAGACACTGGATGAATGGATGGGTAAGGAGGTGGCGGAAACTCCTCGCTGGGTTGTCTCGAGTGGGAAACGTTCTCAGGGTATGGAGGTAGAGGATCGAGAGGTGGTTGTTGCTTCACCGGGCTCTGTTCACTGTGGACGTCGGCTCGGGTAACCACGAAAGTAGGCTCGTACAGGATCCCATTGGCGTATTGGACTACGTCGTCTTGTATTCTGGGTTTGTTGGAATAGCTGGACTGCGTCGTCGCTGAGGAAGTTTGCTCCGTCGTCTGGTAGGACGGAAGGAAGGGGAGGGAATGAAGTTCCGAGGAGTAGTCCGCGTAGTTGGAGTTCCTACTGGATTGCACGTTCACGTTTGAGAGATTGCCCTGATTCGCGTGGTTCCAATAGGTCGTTTTCTGCTCCTGATCGGAATTCCTGGCACCTCCGTCCGTCATGGGGTAGAGAGGTTTCTCTGCCTGTTCGATACGCACTTCTCCGGGACACTTAGCTTTGCTAAGCTGTGAAGTGGTTCGCAGCGGTGGAGGCGGTGGCACCTTGGCCACGTGCAACACCTTACCGGCACTACCATGGAAGCTCTTCCTCATCAATCGACTTCTCTCCAGATTCGGGTTCCCCGTATTTCCAGTGGAATTTCCATTTCCTGCGAATTCCAAGTGCCCCTCCGACAAGTATCCACTCAGAGTTTGCCCAACTTCGTTGCCTTTCAGACCAACACTCGAGTCGTCCACGGACTGCTTTGGCAAACAGTTCGACGACACCTCCGAATTCGCCACATTTTGGCCATCCTGTCCTTCGCGGAGGTCGGGCATGCTCCGGTTCTTCCTTTTGATCAGGCCACCCATTAGCAACTTTCGCCTGATCTTGTGCTGTTTCTTGCCCTGCTTCGGGTCAGACACGTTCCCATTGCTCTGCGTCGACTTGACTGCACTGCCTTCCGCATCTTTGGTCTTCTCCACTTTGCTGGTCTTGGAGGCAGGCGAGCTCTTGGTGGACGGTGCCACGGAGAAATCCTTCGATACGTTCTTGTTCCTCTCTTCGCTTCGGGCCCTCTTCTTGTCTTTTTTTTCGTCTTCGCAGCGTTTTGCGCGGCCAAATAGGCCGGTTCTTTGCGTCGGCCGATCGTATAGCATGTATTCCTCGTCCTCGATGACGTTCACCGCGGTTGCTTTACTTCTGAGAGTCTTCTTTTTGGGCAACGTCGCGTAAATCTCGATGCTTTTTGTCGCCGGTTTGTCCACCACAGCAGGCGTGTTCACCAGAAGTTCGCGACTGTTCTGCCGAGAGTGGTTCCCCTTATCCCTGGAGCTTTGCCGGGAGTGTTGTCCGGATTTGCTGCTTTCCCTGCTGTGTCTGCCTTCCGGTGCTCCTTCTGAAACGCAATCACTGTTAGCAACCCGACCCATAACCGAACACCATTTTCCCCCTATCCAAGAGGCCAACGAACCTTCTTTCTCGCCATTAGCTATCGCCTGCTCCTGGAGGATCCTTCTGTACAAACTCCTGGTCCTCATCACGCAGGTGTTGTGCTTCATCCTCGCGATGGTTATCGTTTGGGGATTATTGTACGGAGCATCCATGGCAGCCCTGGCCTTCCCACTGGCAGCACTGCACAGGGCAACGGCAGTACCAAGATCTCCGGCATCCTCGGCAGCCCTAGATTTGTCCAGGAGAGCGTCGGTCTCTTTGCAGAGGCGCTCGCAGTCGTCCCCGGAAGATGGTTGATAGCCCTCCGGAATTTGTGCAAGCTGCAAGGATGAAACAATGTAACGCGTCCTAAAGGGTAGGGTCCAAATTCGGCGACCAAATTCCATCATTTGGCTGCATGGATGAAGGTAGTCAGAAACGAAGAGCGTGGTCTCACCTGCAGGTTATGCTTCAATCCTTGCTGAAGCGGGAGACTATCGGTGGAAGACAAAGAGTAAGAGTCGTAACCAGCATCATAGTGGCCGCTGCTGCTGCTGGAGAGCTCCCCGGATTTGCTGGTGGGGCTCTTGGGCACCCCCGAGTTCCTCTGCATCTTGTTTACGATGTATAAATAGGGGTTCTCCATGGTGGTTGACGAGCTGGAGGATGCGCTGTTACGATCGCCCGACCAGTTTCCGGAATCTCGTCGTCTGGGCACGTTCATATGGTCTGGAATGCTAATTCCATCTTGCGGAGTTGAACCCGCGCTCAAACTCCGCGTCAGCTGCATCTGCTGCTTCTTTTGTTGCTGCATCACGGTCTCGACCGCTCGTCTACTTATGTACTTTGATTCCGCGTCTCCGTCCACCACGTCCACACCCTGTGTGCAATTAGTCAACAGCCCATGAGCACCTTTCAACCCTTCACGACATACCGATTTAACTAACTGCTTGATCACATCATTCATCCTTTAAATGTGTCGTTCTGGATAAACGAATACGTTAAATATGCCGTCGATTCCACGGGATCGACATATCGTCAAGAGTTCCATTCAGGCTGTACAATTTTTTTTTCAAGTCCGCCCTCAGGGGTCGATGCCATATTTAACGTGTTCATAGTTAAACGAATTCATGTGTTCAAGATGACGTACCTGGTTGCCAAATATGTTATTCTGGATGTCTGTTAAATTCTGATATTCGCTGTAAATCCTCCTCTGGGTGTAAATGTGAGGGGGGCTGTCGGGGTTGGGAGTTATGGCACGTCTTGCGGTATTGTTGATCGGGGGTTTTTCAGGACTTGGTGTGATGGACCTCCTCGCGGTGTTCTTCGGGGGAGTCTTCAGGCCGTTTCCGTTCGGAAAAGGGGTCACCACTTTTGGGGCGTTTTCCGTATTCACGGGTGTCCCCCCAGGAGTCGCGTAGAGCAACAAAAGTGGCTGGTATCGACCTCTTCTGCATTTCTCCACGACTTGCTCCCATCGTGGCCCTATCTCCTTCACGGTCGCGTCATCGAAGTAGATCCAAACCTATGGACGACAGTCATTGATAATTCCATCATCGCCATTGAAACTAAATACGAAAAGGGGTGCATATATTTATTCTAAAATAATCATTAAAGTTTCGACAATAAGTCATATTAATGCGTTCCCAGTCGCGTGGGGCGTTCAGACTATTTCATGTTTTCAATATTAATTACCGTGACCCCGTGGGTCTTTTCGGACACAAGAGAAATTTCCAACTGAAATGTTTCTTGTAAATGTTTTCAATGATATTGAAGAGGAACTTTTAATATGTTTAACATTAAAGACTAGTGGATAACGCAGGAGGGATCTCGATAAGTAGCGCTGGATTCTTTCAAGTTGTCTAAAAGCTCATAAGGGATGAAAAAGTGGATCTGGATAAAATGGATCCAGGTATGAAAGGAAAGCAGTATACATAATGATAGTCATGGAGGGTTATATGTAACATTTTCATAAAATATTTTAGAAAATACTGTATCGATGTCTAAATATCGCCTATAGTGGGATATGTTAGGCATGTACGACCCACGTATGCGTAACCGGAAAGTCGTCGAAATTTGGTCTGGCAGGAAATGCGTTAATCCATGTAATAGGGTATATTTCTTCTGTTATTACCTTCAGCTTCGTGTGGAAGAAGAAGGTGGAGTAATGCTTCCCGTAGTAGGTGACCACACCGACGAGATTGTGGACGGTAGTGGCACCCCAACGGGAATCTACGACGCTGTGAAAGACATCGCTCAGACGTAAAGATGTTCCCACTGTCGCAAAGACATCCATGATGTGCTCCAAAGACGGTCTTTCGCTGTCCCATACGACGCCAACGGAGACAATCTCCGGACGGTTCATCAAGGTTCGGCAAATCTGAATCTTCGCGCCGCAAGAGCTCTGAAACGCGAAATTGACGTACACGTAAGCATCGGAGAACCTTGGCGTAGAATTCCTTGGCAATTCTCATGGTTAATTTAGTTTCCGCCTTAACGTTATTCGCAACCTTGCGGGCCCAGGATCCGGTGTCGCCGAGAGAAAGCCACGGGCTGACGTACTTTCATTCCCGAGAAAACCCTCGAGGAAGATCCGGAATGATCATTAAGGAATGAGTCAAACTCATCTCACGTAACTCCCCACCTCTAGGAGGAGTGATTTAATTTCCTTCCCTTTTTAAATGAAATATCTCCAAAATGATTACTGGAGCCGCATATATGGAAATCCCTGTGTTAACCGATAACCTGGAAAATTTAGAAGCGCGGACCGGAACTGCAGCAAAACGTGACTCGACATCGGGATTTAGATTAGGAAATCAAAAGTGCCGTGAAAATACGACTTGTCGCCAGGATTCAGAAGATAGGACCGAAAGCGGGGCAAAAGGAAGAACGCTGCAAAAATGCGGTAACTCATTGAACGTGTATCTACGTCCCACCCGGGAGCGGACATAAATCCAGCCTCCATCCATAAATCCTTGCATTGCGGCATACCCTACTCCGGCTTTCATCTTTCGACCACCCTGATTCACTCGTGCGGCTCCGCAGAGATTCGAGGAAGAACCGCAGACCTACCGGTCCGCGCCTCCCCCAGCGTCGATTCTTTATACCCTTTTCGGTCCAGACCTTCGTTATCCCTTCCGCGCCTATGACTAAATCCCGAAAAATCTTCCAAAGCGATGCTACTTACAGGACAGTCGCGAATGTCGCCCATGCCCCCGGCTCTTCTCAGCAGCTGTCCGAACAGATCCGGACTGGTCCGGGATGCTGGCGGAGTCTGACGAGCCTGAGCAGTCAGGGCCGAAGCCGACACGTAGTGGACCATCTGGAATTATCGGAAAAAGCCATTTTGTATTAGGTATTCCACATTTCATTGGGCGAGTTAGTCGTGTTGGTCGTTTTTTGGATAGTTTCTTCCGAGGTCCGGCATATCGGAGTTAACTGAACGTCGAATAACATCCTGCACTTCCGGTTAAGTGAAATCACCGGGTGGCGGGGATTTGCAAGCCGCAAATAATGACCGGAATTTCTAGGCTTAGGAAATTCATCGGCAACGCAACATCGCCGCCGGTATTGCTCCCCATGCGAGGCGTTGCGAGAGAGTAAAAGCGATCGGCCATGACCGATGCGGATCGTAACGAGTTTTGTTACTCCTTTTTCCACTGTCCTCGTCCTGACGACCGAGATATCGGCGGTCTAACTGTGCCCAGGACAATTCTACCGACGATTTGTTGTGCACGGTATGCGGGGTGTTGCAAAAGAGCCCACCGCCATACTTGCCGAAAATCGAACAGAAAAATACTGTATTATTTATTGTTTCTACAGTGCATAGTTAACCTGTAATAATTAATACCGCCAACAAGGCGCATCAATTAGTTAAAAGCGAATCTAAGACCCCACCGTAAGTTGCCTTTTCCTTACATCGCAGACCGCAGACCGCGGCTATGTTTCAATTAATTGTTACAGATAAACTATGTACTGCAGAGGAAAAAAAATAGTACAGGACCTTTCGACTCCACTTTCAACTAGGGTTTTTGCTAGGTAAACTGTATTAATCGATTTCGTAACACCCTGCTTATAGGTACTCCTGAAATTGGAGGATTTGCGAAGCGAAATAATGGTCACGAAAAATTTGCAAGAATTTTCAAGTTAGTTGCATATGAACAAGTCATTAGGTCTATAGGTAAGGAATAATTCTATGTACAGGAATCAGGTATTTTTTATGAGGATCTGTATTGACGATAATGAATTCATTGTGATAGTTTTTACACGAGGCCACGGATTCACGTTAATCTCGACAACGATCTGACATAATCTAAATGATAACATCTTCGTATTTAGATGTAAATGTGGAAAGTGGGTCGTCACTCCTTGAATCCAACGTCCCGCGTACACGAATTGGAGGTAACGCCACCAGCAATTTTGTAAGATCCTGTTTAATTAAAGCGAGATTAGCGAGGGCTCACATACGAATCCACGACGAAACGAAAAGAAATTGCGGCATCCCCCGTTTCTTGGCCGAACCGCATCTAATGAGCCATTAAATCCTGATTAGCTAATCCTCTTCCTGGGTGCCATTCAACACCTGTTTAGGGTTCCTTCCCCAAGATGCGTAGAATTGACGAACGTGCTCCCGAAATCAAGCTCATACAGACCATCCCAATAATTGCACCAATACACTAACTAAACATTAAAAAAAAAAAAAAGAAGGAGATGTCGCAATCCATCAAGGACGGTAAGCCCCAGCAAATTAGCAGAGAAGGAAATCATTAATGCTCCTGAAATTCACTGTTAATTTCTCATGATACTCAAGGAAACAGGAAACGGTATGGGGCGCCCATTCCTACATTTCGAATCTGCCCAACAAAAGGTTCGTTTGCGGTTCGGTTCCGACTCTCAATTTAAGCGAGATCATCAAATCAGGGAAGACGGAAAGCTTTGGTACTCCCCAATTAAACCGTCCACTTTTCAAGACATTGCAGGAAACAGTACATGCGTATCTATGCCTAAATCCCAAACTCGCCTTACAAAAAGATTTCTCACGCTTTGGCACAGTTACAATCATCGATTTCAATTGAATCATGAAATCAGCAGGACAGAAAGTTTTGGACGCTCCTTAATCGATTAAACCGCCCATTTCTCACGACGTTGCGAGAAACAAGAACCGATACGTGCGCCCACGCCTAAATCCCAGATCTGCCCTACAAAAGGTTCTTTGGCATAGCTCCGATCATCAATTTCGATGGAACCATCAAATCAGCAAACCAGGATACCAATACTCCTTAACCAATTAAACCGTCCATTTCTCACGACGTTGCGAGAAACAAGAACCGATACGTGCACCCACGCCTAAATCCCAGATCCGCCCTACAAAAGGTTCTTTCACGTTTTGGCATGATCATCAATTTCGCCACAAGGTACCACCCATCGGCCCTGTTCCCACATGGGCCAAGGTCTCATCCACCAAGACCCACGGGTCTTGAGAAAAGCTGTGCAAAGACCTGGAGCGGCACCTTGCCACCGCTGACAAAGATTAGCAGACCCTGGCGTTCACCCTAGGCAAAAGCCTAGGCATCGACAAAAGGTCCTACCTGCGTGGACCAAAACGTGGGAAAAAGGCCGCAGGGTGCTCTCGGACCTGGGATGGGAGAATCTGGGACTTGGATCGGTTCCTCGAAATTTGGTCCGAGTCAAAGGTGGCACCAAAAATGGGCGTGGGTGCCGACACCCCGACCGCTCGCAGGAGACCAAAACGACAGGTGGTCCCAAGGTGCACCTATTGGCGCGGTATCGGTGGACCCCAACTCCGAGTATTACCTGTTACGGTTACCTGGGCTTGTGTACCGTTACGACGGAAGGAGAGGATACATCCGACTTACCTGTGTGAACGGCAGCGGCTCGGAAGTCGCACCGCAGGCACCGCAAACGCTCTGCTCCACGAGCGTCATGGCGAACTTCTGATGGGGCACACAATGCCGGGCGCTGCACATGTCCTCGGCCTCGCCGCTCGCGATGTGCAGGTGGATGCGCAACAAAATGTTTTCCTGAAAAGAGGAACGAAACGGTACCGTAAATGCTTGGTTCGGGAGAGATCGAGACACGCGGATGCTGATGGTAGTGACTTTTCGCCGGTAACGGGTTCGTGCCGATGGCAGGTCGAGGTGGTGGTTGTCTACGGTGTCTTGGAATCCAGGTCTTTTAGATGGTCTTGGATGGGCCTAGATGGTCCGGGTAAGTGAGGAATTTTTTGTGTTGGTTTCAGCGTTGGATGAGACGTCATTTATCTAAGATGGGGTTATACGATCCGAGACGGTCGGAGAATACGAGAATTCTTTTTCTTTGGGTTTCGGTGTTGGATGGAAGACCGCTTACCTCGGATGATCTCAGATGTGGTCTTTGATGGTTGGGACTAGTGGGAAACTTTTGTTTTAGTTTCAGCGTTGGATGGAAAATCATGTTCCTTGGATGATCTCAGATGGTCGGTGTAAGTGAAGGACTTTCGTTTTGGTTTCGGCGTTCGATGAGAAATTTTGATCTTGGATGGTCTTGGATGATCTTAGACGGTAGGAGTAGGTGAGGAATTTTTTGTTTTGGTCCTAGCGTTTGATCGTATATCGGCGCATGAAATGTCACCTAATTCCGGGAGAGGAGACTCGGTGCAATCGCGGAGAACCGATCTGTTCGCCAGCAGCGACTGGTTCCAGACACTTACGAAACATTCCGCCGCGTCGTCCATGAAGCCCAGCTGGAATCTCTGCTGATCCAGGAAACTCTCGGCAAGTGCACGTCGCAGGGCATCTGGAGGCAGTGCACTCTCCTGGGAGAACTGCAGTTGCGAGAAGAGATCCTGAAATGAAATAACGTAGGAAATTAGCGAGCGCGTTCGTACTTAGCGATCGATTCGCAATCAATTACAAGTCTTGACTAAACGGAGTTTAATCAATTCAAAGCGTGCTGATTAACGTCTTAATAGCTTCATTGCCATACCCCCTACCGTCCTTAGTCTGTAGTTAATTAAGACAAATTATTGAAAACTCATTGACGAATTATTCAGAGAAACGGAATAATGGAAGACTCATCGAAGGCAGTGCCGATCGTTTAGATTTAATCGTACTCCACGACGAGTGTCGTTATAAGCAGGCTATTTCTCTGGGAACTCATTAGCGGCAATTTGGCATTTTAACGACTCGTTAAACGCCATAACGAGGAGGAATTTCGAAATCCCTTGGTTAGCTACTCTCGGTACGCAGGACGAGAGACGATCGATTATCCGAGAGAGGCGACGTCGATTGGAATCTAAGCAGAAGTCATTGATCTGCACCTGGTGGTGCACCGCAGATTAAATTACGTAACTCCGAAGGGCATCGACGATGCATGGAAGCCTGCAATCGATTCTCCTTAACCATCGTTTGCTATTAATGATCTTTCGTCGATGATCCAAACGACCGAAGAATCCTCGACCTCCCGATAGACGAGTCCATCGATTTATCGGAAAATCACCAGACTTTAAAAAGTAAATGAACCTCAATATCGTTTTTCTAGACTTACCATCGATAAATCTTGTCGAGTAATCGAGACAAACGAGTTTTCATCGCAACCCCTGCAGCGCAATTGCACATAGACTACCGGCAAGCGAAATTACCGTAGAAAGTGGACATTAGGTGCGAAACCCGAGCATCAGAAAAATCGGGAAACTGCATCTGTCCGACTTCCCGTATGAAATTCCTGAATGAAAGGCGTACCTGTCTCTTTACCAACACCTGCGGAAGTGTACCGACATGGCCATTACCCCCGCGTGTGTACACGCGGTGCGTATGGAGATGTCGCGAAGCTAGGAAGGTGGTTAAGAGTCGCGATTGGAAAGGAAACGTAAAAAATGAAAAGAGAAAAAAGGAACGCGTCGGAACTACGTGGCCACGCTTCCTGTCCAGGGAAAATGATGAATGAAAGCGATAATATGCAGGCGAGATCGCGGACTCTATTAATGATCGATACAGGTCGTAATGATCCTTGAGAAGGATGCGTCCACTTGGCAGGAAACACTTTCACTGGACCGTTCAGTTTTCCTTTGTGGTTTTGAACGTTTTTTTAATCCATAAAGGATGTTTCAACGAATGTATCTTATCAAGGTTAGGTTGAAATAATTGCTTGATTATTTGAGCATTTGTACCGCACCGAGGACAAAGGTGGCTAATAGAAATTCTACAATGGTCGGAGTCAAGCCTAGCGCTAATCAAGACTCTAGAAGAGTGCCTACCAGGTGCAACGAGAATAGAATAATCAGGATTCACCGGTTCGAACGTTTCCAAGAACGACGAGAGGAATTGCAACGAGAGTTGCGACGCATGGAAGGATTATCGGCGAGTGGAAATAAAGAGCCTTGGGAGATTTTCAGTGGAATCTCGATAGAATTCTATCATTGACATTGTTAACGTCGTAGTGACTGGATAAGAAGTCCTGCTGGCAACGAAAAGCCCAAGGAATCGTGAATGAAAATTGACATAATCGAGCTCTTGACGGAGCCACTTGAGAGTCGGGAATGAGTACCGTCCAAAGGACGCAGGAAAAGGAGCCATGTGCAATGTTTCGAGGGCTTTCACACGCCGGCCACTTAAGAAAGTACTTAAAAGACCCTCAATGCTTCGACCATTAAAGATGACTAAAAATTTCCCTGGGAACGCCGAAAAGACCGGCCCGACACCTCTTATATGATTTTCTTAAGTTATCGTACTCTCTTCGAATCAATCCCTGGAGAGTCCTCTCGTTCCATGCCGCTGTCTTCCTCTTCTTCAGCCTTGACTTCAACTTCGACTTCCGAGACATCCTTCGGCGTTTGGTTCCCAGCGGACGAGGGCGAAACCTCCTGCCGTACTTTGATCCACTTCAACATTTTCCGATAATTCTTCGTCAACCTTTTGATATCCAAACTCTTTATCGGACGACTCTGTCGGGTAACGAGGAGTCACTTCAGCTAGTCATCGATTTTTCAGAAACTAATCACTCGAGTAAATCCACATGCGCTGCTCGGTTAACATAAAAAGGTTACGAGCGATCCGGACCGGGCAAAGATGTCTTCCGGTATCATCTCGGAGTGCGCCGATCTCCAAGGAATGAAATCGGAGTCCCTTGAAGAGGACTCCTCCTCGGAAATGTCCGCTAGCTGCCCAGCGAATGCCGACAAGGACATAAATCGCCTTCGAAATGGTACCAGCTCCTTCCAGATGGAACTTGCTCGACCAGGAAGCCCATTTGCGTTATATTCGAGCGATCTCTGGACCTTCCTTTTATGCGTACATATATACCCCGGGAGATAAATATGTTCCCAGGACTCCCGTAGCGATGATATCCAGCAGATCCCGGCCTACAAGGGTCCTGCCCGCCCAAACGCACAGAACGGTCGACACGCTCTAGGTTACTCGAACGTTAATAACAATTGCGTCGGCGCATAACTTGGGCGGGAGAAGTGAGAGAAAATACTAGCCGAAGGTCAGCTCCTCTCCCCGTCTCCTTTCGCCGGGGAGCTCGGCTGAAAAATGGCGACATATCGTGCAAAAGAAGTCCACTGCGACACCTCGCTCCTGCGGACCTCCAGTCTGGATAAAGCACCATCGGCGTAAAACGAAATCCGATCGTTAACTAAATTCAGCCCCAAAACCAGCGAATCGTCCTTAAAGTATCGGCCCAAGGTGTTTCCATTCCATAGTTTTCAGGATAATAGCTGAATGATCAGCAAGGACCTCCCAGTCACCGTTGGTTCTTGTTCGTTCTTCCGCCAGCCGTGTTCGCCACGTGCTCGCGACTGGTCCCATCGAAGACCTCACGTGTCATCCCGAAGTTCCTCATTTCCTCGCTCTCCACTTCCGGATAGACCCGGAACGTATCAGCCCCTTGCCTCTCTTCGATCCGTTGCCCTTCTGGATACCACATCCCAGACACCGAGAAGACTTCATTACTAGAAAATGACCCACACGTGGGAGGGTCTGGACGCATCGCGTATCATTTCCCCTGATTAGAGAAACGCACCCAGCAATCTGCGGCTACCGGAGAGAAGAACCATTCCGCGTCCCCGAGACCGCCTACACGACACTTAGGGCTTATTGCGTGATTGCCCTTTGACCAAGCGCCTTCTGCACGAACTCCGGAAGTGGGGACCACTAGTCTCCGTCTCGGTTTGACCTCTTCACCGACAAAACCAACGTACCACCGATCAACGCGTCTTCGTTTCTTGTTCACTCGGAAGTCCACCACGAGGGCCCAAATCCCAACCTTATCACCCAAGGGATGTTTCCCCAATTAAGCGTCTTCGGCGTGTCCCTTTTAGTGACTCCCATCCAACGGTCGTTGGTGTCAGCTTCCCGCGTTGACGATGCTCAACGAATAGGTCCTGGGCCAGGTCGGCGATCCCTCGGAAAATCCGGTAATGCCTCGTAAAACCCAGCCAGTCCACCAATGGCAGGTAAACCCGAGGTATAGGCGGCGCACCGACGGAGCACTACCTGCAGGCGACACCGTGGTCGCGTACCTGATGAGAGGAACTCGAGGAGCTCCGGAGAACCTCCCACCAGCCGGCAAGGGACGGAGCCCGATCTACCCGAGGCCCCTTCCCCTCCGATAGATCCGAGAAGTCGAGTGACGTCACCCCCGGCGAGCCGGCCACGTTCACCGAGGGGGCGAGAGAGAGGACCGACGAGACGGAGAGAGACGCAGAGTGACGAGGACCGGCGAGGGGGGAAACCCGCGGAGGAGGACGGAGAGAGGAGAGACGCCTAGGAGAGTCGAGGCACGTTGCTCCGGAGGACAAAGCGACGAGTACCTTCCACTCGGCTTCCATAGGGCATCTCGTAAATGCGCTCTCGGAGCCCCGACTTGGAAGGATGCTGCGAAGGGCCCCAGAAGAATGGCACTCTCTTCTTAGAGGAGAGAGTTATGGGCGCGGGGTTAAGCGTCGGGGGTTCGCCGGGCTCGCCCTCGATCCTTGAGATCGCCCAGCGAGAGCGGCTTCGACGGAGAGATCGGATCGCTTTGACGAGAGCAGGGGGACTCGTCTTATGGGGATGTTTAGATATTTCAAGAGAACTGGGAACAATGTTTACGCGTGCCCACGGTTTGCGCCATCCCTGATGATAATACCGCCGGAAGGTCCCGTGCAATTGTTTCTTTCGACCGTGCACAATTTGAATACAAATTAAGCGATAAACAGGATTAGATTAGAAATTAAGTTACAATAATTGAATACAAATTAAGCGATTGATGCTAATCGACGCGACTGGTTTTAGGTTTTTTTAGTTCGTTATTATTGGCAGACTGTGCACTTTAGAAAGAAAATATGCCCGGGATCCTTCGGCTCCTCTTTTCAAGAAGAATAGCGACGGGTAAACCGTGGACGAGAATTCTGTCCACTAATGTCTGGAAGGATGCCCGGAATGGCGCGAAGTTTAAAGATGGCGTCTCTTCTCGACGTCGGTGGGGGCTCCCCGACTCTTCGAGAATTAGAATGAATTACTTTCCTGCACCAGAGAAAATTACAGCTCGCCTTGCCGTTCGGGTAGAATATAACTATTCAATCTGTTTTCCTTTTTCGCACGTTGGAGTGCAGATATAATGATTATTTTTTCGATAGTTTTTTTTTTTTCAACAATTATACATGCCGCCATGATATGTCACGGCGAACTTAATCGGTTTACTGCGAGCCCATTCCGTCCACTCGTGCTGCAATACATGATTCCATGCACGCTTGCAATAGTATCAGCAACGGTAAACATTTTACTGCCTCGAAATAGGGCACTTAACGTTGATTTTTCTCCCTTGACATCGATTATAGTTGATGTGCATTTTATGCGCCGGGGTTACGTTAGACTTTCTCTGCGGACATATTTGGCCCTGCAACGAATATTTTTTTCTTTTTTCTTTCCAGCGGGAAATCGTGGGGAGAAAATGTAACGCGGGGCAATTAACCCGAAGTGTCGCCTTGAATGACAATGAAAAGTGTACAGATTCCACGGAGCATACCGACTCCATTCGCGTCGATTTCTCCGAACGAGCAGGATCGTTGAACCGCGTGGTCCCGAAGACCATGGGTAATGGATGACGGGTTGGAGAACGTTTAGAGAGAAGTCGATGGGCAAGGGTCCCGGGGTCGAGGTGGTCCACGGCGAAGAAGATGGACACCCTCGCCGGCGATCTTGAGATGCATCAGGGGTGAATCATCGGGGTGCTCGAGCCGAATTCCTAACTTAACGTCCAGCATCCTTACTCCGGAATGCGAGCCTCCTCGGCACCGTAGAAAATTAATTTCGAGGATACAGGAAATAATGCCAAAGTACGGAATAATTCCATAAGTTCGCGGAAACATTTTTTATTTTGCGACAAATGGAGTTATTTCATGCTAAACAAAACTGCCGTCAAGGCGGCAAGCAATGATCGAAAGTTGGGGACCACATTATTAATCGATACGTGGTTCGTTTCGTTGTAAATGGAAAATACAGTTTTTTCAGCCTTTACACACGTGTCCGCGAATTAATGAAACGACCCTCAGGTACGCGAAATCTCTACCCTGATTTTTGACAAAATGCTGCGCGTCGTTTTCATATCGATGCAATTTAATTGTACTTGCAATTGGCAATAATGAAGAAAAGGTTGTCGGTAGGCATCTTTCTGTTCGTGCTTTTATCCGTGACCCGAAGACCCGAATTCGAAGGTGCATCAGGACGCGTCACGGAGCCATATAATAGCGGGTTCATCAGCGAATTGGCAGGCTTCGGAACAGGTAATGACCCCCTGAACGCGACCTCGCTTCTCCCCAATATTTTTGGAAGAGGCCATTAAGGTTTACGGCATTCGTGAGGGGCCCCTTTCGGCCCTTTCCTTCGTTACTCTTCGTTCTCCAAGTGGCGTTTCCGAGTCGCCTCCCGGGGGCCGGGTTTACGGTGGAGGTTCCCCCGGGTTTCGATGCTCGGAAACGTTTCGCGTTAATGGCGTAGAACGTCGGCCAAGAATCGAAAATTACCTCGGACCACCTCGGGCCACTCCTCTCATCTGGCGAACCTGTTCCCCAAAGTTTACTCCGTGCCGGGGAAAGCAACAGGTAGATTTTCCCCGCCGGCCCCCTGGCCCCTTAGGACCCCGTGGACTCAGGTGCCCTTCAGGGGGAGAACCTGCACCGCAGGGTCGCCCCTTCAAACGGAAAACCCTTGGGACTCGTGTCACGTCTCCCGGGCGGAAAGTCAACGCGCTAATCTCCGGAAGCGGAGGCGCGACGCGTTCCGCTCGCTTCTGTAAACCTTGGTCCAGACCCCGATCAATTTTCATTTCCACGGAAATAAGGGACTGAGTACTTATTGGCACTTGCAACCCTGCGAAAGGATGAACTTTCAAGTCCGTCGAATCCTCTTTAAATTATATTAATGCCGTAGATGAATCTTTATAAATATTGCAGGTGACCGAAATTAATTAGATATACCGTTAAAAGTATTTCGATATTTCTATTTTTATTTTTATTTCCTTTCTATGCAATGAACTTTTTTAATTAATAATATATTTATTGGCGTCGTCAATGACATTAAACCCCTTCGGTGGGTAACTATCGAATGCCTTTCTTCCAAAAAGATGGCGATCGAGAAAGTCAGCGAGAAAGAAATCAGACAAGGACTTATGGACCAATCCAATATTTTCACTTCTCGTGCATTTCCTAGAATGGTCATTTTGTTCTAGAGTGTATCGACAGGGATTATTAATGGATCCTTGATTACGAAATGATTATGATTATTGCACCGTGTAGGGAAAAGATCGAAATTCCAAACCAGGAAGGGCGACGAGCGTATCTCTTTACATCTTCGCGCATTCAGGCGTGCATATCCTTTTGCAGCAGGTTGCAAGATGAGCTCCAATTTAGAATCATTGCAATTGCGAGTACGGCAGTGGTTCTCGATTAGTACCAGTTAGAGTCTCCAGCATCGGAATTTCTAATTATCGTGATTCAGGCGCGACAATATTTTGGATGAATTAGAATGAGATCAGTAATTGTGCTTTTCTACTTCTTCCGTCCTGTTAGATTTCGGAAGGTTAAAAATTGTATCTGTACTTCCTACGTGTAACTGAAGTCTACTATATGCTTCTTACATATTCGAAGCTAGTAAATCACGGAAATACTTGGAGGCAAAAAGCAGAAATGGAATTTTCTAAATCGGTGGATAGTATCACGCGACCCAGGCACTCGCTTCAACGAGCACCATAATGGAGTGCCGATCGCTTTCCGTAATAATAAGGGAGTTTCTCGTAAAACCAACTTCACCTTCTCTACCAGATACTCAAGCCAACTAATTCCTGCTAAATAAACTCTACCCTTGGCTTCTTATACTCCGATACCCTTGGATCCATCATCCGATAAAACGATCGTGGGGTGAAACTCTTAGATGCCGTAGCTCAATAGTAATATTTCTTATCGACATACTCGGATGCGATAATAAACTCATTAAACGATTGATTAAATTTCTAATTTTTAAATAAGAATTAAACTATCAGCCACCAAATCCGGTAACTAAAACTTCCCTGGCGAATGCGAATTTATGAAATTGTTTAAACTTATTTAATTAAGAGGTCAAAGAAATTTCTCCCGATTGCCTCGTTTCGACGTTTGCACCTTTTCGCAGACCCTTTCCCCGGCTTTCCATTTATCTTTCGAAAAGCTATTATCGAAAGCTATTATCAACATATTCGGATGCGATATTAAACTCATTACACGATTGATTAAATTTCTAATTTTTAAATAAGAATTAAACTATCAGACACCAAGTCCGGTAACTAAAACTTCCCCGGCGAACGCGAATTTATGAAATTGTTTAAACTTATTTAATTAAGAGGTCAAAGAAATTTCTCCCGATTGCCTCGTTTCGACGTTTGCACCTTTTCGCAGACCCTTTCCCCGGCTTTCCATTTATCTTTCGGAAAGCTATTCCCACGGGGAAACGCAGATTTTCGCGCGTTCTTCGAAGGGAAAAGAAAAGAAAAAAAAAATTAACGGCCCGCGGTCGGTCCAAGAAAGTTTCCAACAACGTCCGGGCGAGCCGTTCTAGACTTTTTTACGTTTGCAAGGAGGCGCATAACAGCTTGATCATCCTCGCTATATGGAAGCCGCGGAGCTCGCGTCAATTATCTCATGGCCCCTCAATTAGCCGGTCAAAGAAACCGCTGCGATTCCCGGGGTATACTTTCCCGAGTTCCGGGGAAAGGGGCGGCGGAAGTGCCCGACAAACTGTTCGCCAAGAAACGCCATTTCTGCGGGGACCAGCAGAACCGAGCTCGGGCAACAAAGGCTCGTTTCCATATACCCACGATGGACCCGACGACGCTTACTTGGGAACCTCCACGGATTGTCATGGTACTCGGCCAATGGCGGCGCTTAGATCACCGGAGAAAGGTATACTCGATGGGCCCGAGGGTCCGTTACATGGAGTCTCGCCGAAGTAACAAACTTCGAGGCACTTTGTGACCCCAGGAGAGAAGCCTACATCCACTCGAAAATTTTCCACCCGACCTTTTCACATTTCTTATTTCCGAACGTAACGGGGACCTCTGAGTCCCGCTTCGATCTGACTTTCCCGCATTCGACTATAAGCGACTCTTATTACAGGGAAATGTACATTTATTACGCGCAAAATATTATCAATTTTGTGTAAATAATTCCTAATGTATTTCACCGGAAATTAACCGCTTGACGCGTGCAGTAGATAGGTGATTATTTTTTTTTTTTAAGACTGCATTTGTATTTTTCTTGGAGGGTGTTTGTACATTTAATGACGTACTTGTGGGGTTTCGGGGGTGGATATTAAATTTACGTTCAAGCAGATAAATGGTTTGAAGGGTCTTATCAGGCCATGTTGGGTAGGGTCGTCGAGAGTTCTCCATGGCTGGTCATGAAGTTAGGTTAAAAACGTGAAGCAACATTGGTCATTATCGTTATGTTTCCGAGATATCTGTCGCATGGGTATCCTAAGAGGCCACCGGACCTCTGCTTAATGTGGTAATAATTTACATTCTTCACGGGTTATCGTGGAATCGTTCATGCTCCTCGATCGCGCAGCGCTTTTTATTTGTCGACCATCGTCGAGATTGCCCTAAGTGGTTCGTGAAAGATCTTGGCTAATCCGCGCGAATAAGACGTTGATGAGGCCACATTAGCCTCGCAATTTTAACTCATCCTTGAGGCGTGAAAAGACCAAAGAACGCCATGCATTTTATCAGGAAAGACGCCCAAGAACGAATTAACAGCCTGCTTGTTGCTAGAAACCATCAACTGTCTCGTACAATCCAATTACATTCTTTAAAGCGGAATCTCTTTTCTAATAAGATTTTAGCATCTATTTATCCTAACAAATATTCTTTACAAATTAGTAAAAACAAATTTCTCCTCGAGAAAATATGTTTAACTGCAAAATGGGATTTTTTATTAAAAAATAAGTCGTCTGGGTGTCGTCTTTCGTGATGTTGAATTGTTATTGAAGAGTAAGTGAAACATTTGTTTCCATTTTATAAATATATTACCTTGAGTGCGCAGAAGATGCAGGACTCCCTCATGCAAGCGTGTCCGGAAAGCTCCCGAAAGCTCCTCCGAAAGATGTCCAGATGCCATAATACCTGGAATAAAAGGGATCTCAATAAGCTTTATGATTCAAAAGAATGTACATGTACGACTGTCGCGACAAATCAAAACACTCGATTTTCCGCACCACCGACAGTCCCACTATTATTATTTAAAAAATCCAGGTTCATGGATATCCGTACTAAGAATCGATTTTACGGCCCACCTGGGTAAAACATCTCAATTGATACGGAAACGTCTAATCATTGCGGAAGTAAGTGTCGACGGAATTTTATTGACTTCACAAGTTGTAGGTAGAAGTAACGAGAAACAAAAAGACAGAGGTATTAATATAAGACTTAAAACAATTGCTTGGAAAAATGTGAAAATTTCCAGAATATAATTTTTTTTAATTATCTATTATCAGCATTAATTTTTAACAATTCTACAGAGCGTAGTTGCATCCCTCGTGGACGCATACAAACAATTTAATAGACGGCAGCATTGACAAAAGCGATACTGCAAGAATATGCATGTCCACACGCAGAAGATAACGCATCGCATCCTGTTCATTATGCACGTTATGGGGAAGGAAATTGTTGTTTCCGCGACTTCATATAATTAACACTGGTTGTTTGTCCTTTGTCCTTTGTCCTCGCCCCAGGGACCTCAATTCGCAACTAAATCGTACGCCACGTGCGACGGAGCAACTATGAATTAATAAATAATTACAATTATTACCGCCCTTATTTCTTGAAACAAAAATATTGTGTGTCTTCGGTATTTACGATTGTCCACGTCTAATTGAACTTCAAACAAAGATGAGGAGAAATAGAGATAGAAGATTTCGCATTTCTCCCTTAGAAGAAGAGGGATTTAAGAGCCTTGGGAAGAAGGACTAAGCAAGAGTCCTGGGGGATCAGGAGAAGGTCTGGATGAGCCCTGGTGGACGACAGGTGAAGGATCGGAGGTTTACAGGACAAAAGTGTCCCTCGGACCTTACAGCGACACAATACCCCCGGAACAAGGAACCCTGAGCTCGTAAGTGGATTTCACTGCAGCGATGTGGGTGTATGCAAGGTGCATCGGCTTTCACGTCTGGCGGTCTAGACCCTTGGCGCCAGAATTCGGAAATTTTGTACAAGAACTTCCATTAGAAATAGGAACACGAAACGCAAAAGTCTTTCTATGCAGAAATCGCATAAAAATATAAACTTTTTTTAGGCGTCTGTAATAGAAAACTGCTTTTCAAAAAAGTAGTCTCATTTGAGGTGAAGAAATGTACTTCTAATCTTTATCTCGCTATGCTTTTAAGGTTTGACAAAGAGAAGAGGTAAAAAGCAAGTACGGCAACACCATTAAGAAGCAATAAGAAGTGATTATGTTGTGAGCCGGGGGTGGAGGGAAAGGAAGCATGACAGCACGCATAGTGCCAAACCTCGGTATGCAAGAAATGCAATTATCAATGCGGAGGGCTCGAACGTGGCAGTACTCTCATTACGGAAACTCCGGTTTATCGTGCGATCTATTTTGCTCCTCCGTCGTCAAGCGTCCCGCAGGGTAACTGGGTATTTGGACCATTTTGAATTTCAAATTCGGAAGCATCCCCTTCCTGCATAGCTGCATGCCGATCTGCAAAACCGTCCGAAGAGACAATTTCGCAAGTGCGACTTCTTGGAAAAGTACTTCGCGAAGTATGTAACGGCTGCTGCAGCTATGCTCTCCTTGGCCGAGAATCGGTTAACCGAGAAATGCGAGAAAGAAATGTACGAGCAGCATGAACGATCACTAGGTAGGAGAAATGTTGCGTTCCTCGACGTATATGTTTGCTTAAAAAAAATACAATTCAGTTCCCATAATATTGAGGAAGTCTGAAAGTAAATAAAATATCGATATCTCGTCGTAATAGGTACGGCGGAAGCCAAATAATTTAAATCCCCGACGAAGAGTTGCGCAAGAGTGTAAACAAATATGGCGCACCGCAGGAGATGCGGAGACTTCGATGCCCGACTGGCAGTGACCGCTATCCAAGTCGGTGGTCATGGTTCCATGCATTGGTCGTTCTTACCCGACATGTTACATTTATTTTATTCTAAATATCACATGCATTTTGTACAAAACTCAGCTTCATTACACTAAAAAATTCAAAACACTAAAAAAAGATCCGTGAGCTCAAGATTCAAGACGTTCACAGGTGGAAGATGCGGTGATTTCGATGCCTGGCAAGTAATGACTACTGCTCAACCTAAGTCGATGGTCATATTCTCTTGTATTGATCATCATTACTCGTTTGATAACATTTATCTTAACAAACTGTACTCGACAGACTGATTCTACCTATGCATAGTATGCATCTAAAAAGAAATCCAGTTTCATTGATGCTAAAAAGAGCCGTAAGATCAAGGCTCGTGGTGTCCAGAGATGAGAGATGCGGTGACTTCGATGCCGGGCAAGCAATAGTCTCTCGCCGACCTAAGCTAGCGGTCATGTTTTCCCGTATCGATCATCATTTCCCGTTCGAGTACATCCACCTTATCGAAATGTATCTTACACTCAAAGTGTTTCTTCCTCTCTGTACATTACATGTACCTAATAAAAAGAGGTCCGGTTTCACGGAGGTCGAAAAAAAGAACCGTAAGCTCAAGATTCGTGACGCCCAGAGGTGGGAGACGCGGTGACTTCGATTCCCAGAAAGCAGCACCGGTGTTTAACCCACGCTGCCGACCACGTTTTCTTACCCCGCATTACGCGTCGCGTACATAGGTAATAAGTTTTTGTAAAACGCTAAACCCAACCCGTACCTTGCAGATAAACGAAAAAATCCATTTGCACCAACGCCGGTTAAGGAAACGGCAGTATCGCCATTTGGAGCACTTTCATAAAACGAGTGCAGCGATACTTGGGGTAATTATTACGGAATTTCGTTTCAATTGCTGTAGGTCGTACCATGAATCGCCGCCGGTACGGCATTAGATCTAAGAACGGTCGTTTGACTTCGTTGTCGGGATGCGGAGAAAGAATCAATTGCGATTTCCTTTTTAGGCGCCGCTATATTCCGGGCTTCTGGGGAGCACGATGGCGCTCCGTTGCTCCGGCGTGAAAGAGGTGTTGGAGGTGAAAAGAAGAAAATCTTGCGCGCATACCGTGGCGAGAGGGTTAACGCCACGAGAGCAACGGCGCAAGTTATTACGATGGATTATATAAATAACGTTTTCCAGTCGGTTGCGAACCGCGCCTCGCGTTCCCAGGCTCGCGTCGAGAGCATCCTCCTAGAGCGAATCGGAGTTCTGATAAGAAAAGGAACCATAGCCAATCTTACGGGTTAAACCGGCCTGCTACTAACAACCAAGAGAACGCACCATGAACCTACAATTACGGATATGGTTTAACGGGAGAAAAACTAATCGGATGTCGACGGAACTAATTTTTGGCGACTCGACCTATGATCTTGAGAAGGTACTGCGGGAATTAGTTATCATTATGGACGGTAATTCGGATTACAATATATCTATATCGTCAAACGTACATGTATGTACGTACCTATAATTGTGCACAGATGTATTTGTTTACAGGTATGTAAGATCATTCTAATCTTTGTAATAATCCTTATTTATGTGTGCCAATCATCAAGAAGGTAACCCAAAACTCTAGAAAAATGAATTTAAGCCCTACTTTGTGTTGTATGCATTTAAATTACAATAATGTGAAGTAGTTAAATTACAATAGTGTCGTAAAAAAATGACTTAGGACACTGTCCTGATCATCGGTACATGTAATAATAAAACGAACCGTAGGGTGTAAAACTTTGAAAAGTCATTGGCAGTTATTAATTAAACAGGAAACAGGATACAAATTACTTCAAGATAAGCACTATCTCGTCGAAACTAAAATATCGCCGGGGTATATTAAAGGTAACATAAACTTGCAGGGAAGTAGGGAGAAAAACGAATCGCTGAATCCCACAGGTGAAGTCGCGGTACCGGTTGTGCACGTAGCTTGGCCCGCTGGGCCATGACGCGAAGGAGGAGACGAAGAAGAAGCTGAAGGAAATATCGAACCTTGGCGTTCTGGAAGAGTGCGCGTCTCCGCGGTAAGACCCGACCAATACCGAAATCTCGCTTCTGCATTACTTACCCTCAAAAGATACAAATATCCCGCGTTGAAAACAAACGGCTACCCAACAATACTAATGCCAGAATGACGGCCGCGCTCCCACTCGACATAACATTTAATCCGTGCCTAAAAGAGAATTAAAACCAAATTCACCGCAATCTCAAATAAACCTAGAGAACGCTCGCTCGTTTAAAAATGCCCAACCCCTCCCAGCACCCCTCACACTGCATAAAAATAAAAATAAAAAACGGAGAACCGTCAAACGTCTCACGCGCACGTACACCATCCAAGTGCCTGGTCGTCCGGGTCATGCCGGGAGGATAAAAGAGAAACTTAAAATGCCAAGAGAAAGAAAAAACAAAAAGAAACCAGGAGAACGTCGAACCTTGGCGATCTGGAAGAGCGCCTGCCTCCGTGGCCTCTCCTGCTTCATCTCTCCGGATGCACTCCGCTCGGGGCCTTCTCTCTTCCCTCGTCACTCGGGCCCACGGACGTCACCCATCGATGACGTCACCCCGCGAATTGGAGCCAAATGTGTGCTCGCGCGCGCGTACCGAGCGAACTCGAGGGCGGAACACCGAAAAGGTTCTTCCTGACGCGGGCGTCGCTGCAACAATGCCGGAGTAAGGCCCCGCCGGGCCCCAGCCGATCGCAGCGCCACCACGGGCCCGAGCGGCCAGGTGAGGAACTGTCGACTCTCCCTGTAAAGCGAGAGGCTGGATTCGGGCCGCGGTGTACAGTTCGTGGTAGGGACGGGCCCGCAAGAACCACTCAGGAGTGTAGAGTACGAGAGAGGCGGCCATCTTTACTACGCGGCGTGGGTGAGGGGCCCGCTCGACCGGGCCCCGGGAAGCGGGGCGGGGGGCAGGGGACAGGGGAAGAGGGGGCCTTCGGAAAACCGGACCCCGGGAAAGGGGCGGGAGGAAGCGACGGCGACGCTTTT